GGACATCCCTGAGGGCATTTCTTTCAACCAGGTTTTTTGGTTTGGGTTTTTTTTTTTGTTTCTTTGTTTTGTTTTCTTCTCACTCTTATCTCTTTTTTGTCTTTACTCATTTCCAGTTTCTCGATTTATTCATTTTTTTCTTTTACCCTTTTTCTTTTTTTTTTTCACTTTTGTTTTTCCTCATTTCTCAGTCTCTCATCACTCCACTCCAATAGCAAGCTCCCTTAGCACTGTTTTTTGTTTGTGTGTATGCTTTTGGCTCCTGTTCCTCTCTCCTCTTTCCCATACCCATCTTAGCTCCACACATCACAATCTAAACCCTCTTTCCTGCCTACCTACACCGTGGGCTGAACATCACACTCCCAAGTAGCACAGGAACGTCCTAGTGGAAACTGCCCTGCACTAATTCCCAGTCTGCACTGTCAGCCCTGGTACGTGCCACAAACAACACATCCCAGCCACTCCCCTTCAGCTGGACCTGCCCTGCTATACCACACCAGAGTGACTGACCCTGCACATTGGAGAAGGAGGTGAAAAGTATCGTCCCACAGATGAGCAAACAACAAAGAACGCACAGCCCGCCTGATCAGACATCACCAAATAAAACAAAAAAGTGGGACAAAACAAACAAATGTACAATCAAGAAACGAGGAAAATAACCACTGAATGCCCCAAAGACAGCAGACAATATCAAAACATTTACAAAAACAGGACAGGGTGGTTCCAGTAGGCGTCCAAAATAAAACAACAGATGATCTTCCAGTAGAAGAAAAGGCACTAGACCCAACCGATAGGGAATTCGAATCCCTAATATTCAGAATTATCCAAGAGTTGAAGCAAAAAGCAGACAAAAATGAGGAAAAAATAGACAAATTCGTGGAAAAGGCAGACACATTCATGGAAAATACAGACCAAAACATGGAAGAATTCAAGAAATTAATACAGGAACAAAATGTTAAAACAGATTCACAACTAAAAACCATAGAAAAACAACAATTAGAAATCCAAAAGATAAACAACAAGATTTCAGAAATGGACAGTGTCATAGAAGGGCTGCAGAGCAGGCTTGAAACAATGGAAGACAGGATCAGCGAAATTGAAGACAAACACTTAGATACAACCCTATTGGAGGAAAAATCAGAAAAAAGAACGAAGAAAAATGAAGAAACCCTGAGAATTATGTGGGATACAATCAAAAGCAAAAATCTACAAGTGATCAGTTCCAGAACACGAGGAGAAAACAGAAAACACAGGATCGCTGAAGAACTGCTGACAGAAAACTTCCCCAATATCATGAAAGACAAAAAGCTAACCATTCAAGAGGCTCAACGAATCCCGTATAGGATAGACTCCAAAAGAAAATCACCAAGGCATATCATAATAACACTCACTAAAACCAAAGACAAACAAAGAATCTTGAGAGCAGCTCGAGAAAAACAAAAAGTCACATACAGAGGAGAAAAAATAAGACTAAGCTTGGATTATTCAGCAGAAACCATGCAGGCAAAAAGGCAATGGAATGACATACATAAAACCTTGAAAGAAAAAAATTGCCAGCCAAGAATAATATATCCTGCAAAACTCTCATTCAAATATGATGTGAAATTAGGTCATTTCCAGAAA